CTTTGCAGCACGTGTTATAAATTTGCAATATCCAGTTTTTTGCTCCTTGGTATATATGCTGTATTTGTTTACCGTATTTATTATCCACACCTGCAGCTTTCCCGTTTTTTAACCAGTGCATACCGTCATGGAGTTCTGTTAGTGTAAAAAGAGTTCCTAGATGGTTAGTCTCCGAATCCAATCTTCTTCTAGTGTTTGGGTCCTTATATCGGTTCGTAGTTCTTTTATTCATAAGGAGTTCAACAGCAACTTGATTTGTTGTAACCTTACAAAGTGGTTTATGTCCTTTTGGATCACCGCTAAGTTGTTTACAAGGTTTCATGCTTATTTGCTACTATGTTATTTTATTTTCAGGGTCTCAATTTACTTTTCCTGTCTGGCTTGACTTAGCTGTTGGAGTAGTACTGCTCCGTAGTCAACCGTTTCTTGACTAAAAGGGTCAGTGGAATAGAGGATTTCGTATGTTGTCCTTAGTTCTTTGGACTCGATGGACGTCCCGAGAAAATATTGTTATCTATATCCTCTAGCAATAGATTTTCTAGACACATTTTTGAGCACCTCTACAAATTTTTCGTAGTTCTCTACTTTTGGTTCAAGACGTAGCAGCTCAGAATCTAGCATGTGTGTATACTTTTATGTCTGTCTTGTACTGTCTTGAGCTAATATTATTTATTGACCCAAATACACATATCTTTTCACAACTTCGTTGGGCGATTTTTCGATTTTTATTAGCTTATTTTTCATGAGATTTGTCATTATTTGTTTTCCTGAATTTATTCCTAAATTGATTCTCTGTACTTACTATAGCATAACTCTGTCCATCAATGTTAATTCTATTTGAGCTGTACTATAATCGTCTAAATGCGTACTCCATGAATGTTATAAATAGGTATGGCAAATTATGTAGTCAATATGAAATACATAACGTCTTGTTATACAAAATAAGGTCTGCCTATTAGATTGCACTTGAGTTTGGACTAACTTAGCATCTAGAATCCAATTCTAGATGCTAAGTTTACGTTTATAATAAAATCTGTTAGAACTGATCCAATATATTTAACAACTTTTGGTCTTTATACGATGGAGGATACAATGAGTTGGTTTTTTGAAGATTCCTTATTTCTGTTGACAGCCGGAATCTAGTACACCCATTTTTTCCGTCCTGTGTTTGCATACTTAATTGGAATAAATTGGTAATAATGTTATTTCAAAGTGATTAAAACAATATAGCTATACTTTTACCTAGAATTCCCAAAACGTTGTTTATATCCAAAATCTTGATATATTCCAACAGAAAAATTTGTGGAAAAATCAGAAAAAAAATTGTCCACAAAATTAAAATTTTTAATCAAAAATATTCTTATGTCATCAGCAAAAAGTAGTTTTTCAAAACATAAAAGCTAAAATTTCCTGTAAAAATAGCTTTTTGGAATTTTGCTTATGAAAAATCGAATTGAAAAATTAAATTGTGAATTATTTTACTCGCAGTAATTTTTGTCGTATTATACATAATACTCTACGAGATACGCAGGATAAAATTTTAAAAATTATTTAGCTGTCTAACTTTTATAAAAAATTTATTGAAAATTGTATTATTATATTTAAACTTTCATATTAGTATATAATCTTGACTATTATTAACAACATCTTGAGAAATATGCCAAACGACAATATTATAGCTTTTTGAGTTCCAAATCTTTGTCGTAGTTTAGTATAAGACATTTATTTAAGGACTAAAGATTGACTGGTTGATAGTTTTTATTTTCTCAGTGGCCATATCCGAGAACCCATAACTCAAACCGATTATAAGAAATGGCGAAACGTATCCGACGGAAAACAGGAAGTAAAATAACCTTTCTTCAATCCCATAACTATTTCAACCACGAAAACTTGTTCCAAGTAGAGTGAAAATTCAGAGAAAACGTGCTGAAGTCGACTGAAATAATTCAGGCTGTCGTAGGGCATTTGAAAATGAACATAACTTCCGTTCCAGCGAGTCCGTGTTGCCCGATCCGAACTAGTAATTGTGTTAGCGGTAAATTTCCCGAAAATACCCGACAACGGCAGTTAGAAAGGGAAGGACATATCAACCGGCTCTATTAACACGCTGGAAAACGTCAACAACACAGCAAAAAAGAGACGAAAAACTCGCCCGATGACAATGAAGCCACCTGAAAAATTGAGGCTAAAATAATTGGATTCTTTTTTAAATTGTACATCAAATGAAGTAGGGTTAGTAGGTGATTAGTTAGAATTTTGTTTTGACTACTAAATCTAAAATGTTTTTGGGAATACTAATTTAAGCTTTTTATTCCATTTTTTGTTAAAGACGTTAATTTACAAACTTGTATTTTTTACCCAATTCACAACAATAATTTTTTTTTTGTATTTAACATGTTGATTGCTCTCCCTTTCATTTCCGTTAGGCGTTTCTAATAGGTTGGATTCCTTTATTCATATCAATAATATTTTTTTTTGTTTTTATCTTAATCTGGGGTCGGCTTCATTAGTTACATTTTTCCATAAGTTTCTATCTTGAGTATCTTACCAATATCAATCCTTGTATCGATATGTTCTGCCTAAGCGTCTCCCTTTAAGTGTTCTTTGGTTCTACTTTTCTAATCCTGTAAGAACTATTCTTCGTATTGGGTGATTACCGTTTTGAGGTTGAACATGCCTTATCCACCTCAACCTATATTTTTTTATTTTGGCATCAATTGCTAAATCCACTATACTAAAATTTAAAACCTCCCCCACACCTGTCTTAAGACTAGTTGTTACTTCCTTATACATGTCTCCTATAAATTTTATATACTTATCAGGAACTTTCTCATTGAGTACTTGCCATACAAGCTCCCAAAAAACGGATCCGACTATCAGTTGCTATCTTCCATATTTATATGGTGTGACGTAGTGGTGTGAAGTAGTTTTACGGCTCTGTAATTTATGTATTTTTGGAAATTTATGGAAATGGAAAGTTTTTTATAAACAGGTGATGCTTCTTTATTCGTCTGGCGTTTGTTTCATTTTCATAATTTGATTAAACAAACCTGTTAGTCAACTTGTTCCTGTCTCACCTGAAACTCTTCACACTTCCACAGCCATATCATTTGGTCCAACTATTTTACCTCTATTTATTGTTTAAAGTATTTGAGCAACTTCCTAGTTTGTCATGGATACATCTAATCTGATTAAAATGTTTTGCTTTGTTTGCTCTATGATTGTCTATTTTATATATCTTTACTTCACCATTACTGGTATCAAGTTGATACCTGAATAATCCAAAGATGAATCCTACTAGCAGCAATGCTTCCTAGACACTCCACTCCACGACACGTATTATTATATCGTGAGGAGACTAGCATCATCTTAATTGCGTAGCATGTGAAACCCTGGAAAAGGGAGGCTTACATGACGTCTTCAACGTATTAGTTCCAGGATGGCGTAGATCGTTATAGTTCCGTTACCGTCTTTACTAATATGTCATCTGCGTGTTGCATGTCCGGTTGCCGATTCCCGCTCTTAGCTTTGCTCAGTTTGTAAAATCGCCACCAGGTATAAGCAGGTCTCTCCTACACCATCTTGTGTGTTTTTTTTAGTATTTTTTTGTACTTTTTCCAACTAGTAGGAAATTTATCCTGGTTCGCTCTCCACCAATATACGATATGCACGTTTCTACTCGTTCTTCTGGTGGATATAGATCCAGTTCGTCGTCAAGGCATACCCTTTTCTTATACAGTAAAAATTTTGAGGTCGTCGTCGCCACTAGAGGACCCACAAGAAGATCTTTCTTGTCTATTGCTTTCAGGATGAGTATTTTTTTATTATTGTCATATAATTATCTCTGCTTCTTGTTACAAGGAAAGGCTCCATTCCGATAAATTGAAAGCTTCGTTTTATGGCGAGGATCGACAACTAGAGAAATACAGTATACCCAATTTGCTTTATTGTAGCATGTGATAACTTAATATAAACTTATTTCTTGATAAAAGAGTTTTTCAAATTCAATTCTTCGTCATTCATCAAAAAATTACTATATATGACCACACTGGGAAGCGTGACATACTCTTCACCTTCTAGTCAGTGTGTAACTTTTTTGCAGTTTTTTAAGAAAACTATTTTTAGTTTTTAGGGTTTAGTAAATTTCATTCTAGTTCGTGGATTCTAAATGGTATTAATTTTTGGATTCCAGTTACAGAAGAAAGTAAGCGTCATAGAGGCGTAGAGTTCCATTTAGTCGAAACATCCAAAACAACTCTCTTTGGATTGTTAATTCCGATAGTCTTTCATACAGATTTATATCGTAATCTGAATTGTTCTGATATTTTTGTTTTTTTTTTTAAATGGCTCTGATTGCATATATAATACAGATACTTATCTAACTTGCGTGGGACAAAGCATCAGTCCCATCCCCGGTCAAAACATCAAAAAACCGCTGTCCCGCCCTGTGTCCCCGTTCTGCGGGACAAAATTAGTAACAAGGTGCAAGACGGGACGTCCCGCGTATTATTCTTGCCGAAATTGCTTGGTGATAGACAATTCCGTATTATATTATTGGTAGTTAATACTATAGTGTAATTATGAGTGAAACCGCGAGTATTTAATAATGGCATACTAAAAAACAAACACATTACATTATTATACATTATATATTGTTAATCTTCACTGCGATATAAGGATGATAACTATACCGCGCTATCTATATCACCACTAAACAGGCACTATTGTTTTTCTTTTGCCTACCTTTGTTTTGTTTCATAAATTTTAATATCCGTTCCTAATAGCTACAAAGTTTGGTTCGAGCCTTCAGCTAAATATCTATCATCGATTGTAGTTGTCCCTCGTATAACCCATATTCCGTATTTCCACAATCATCTTTTGCAAACTAGAAATGATACGAAAACGTGAGAACAGAGATTCCCGATACGAAGCTGAATAAGCTTCAAAATGAATGCTAGATAAACACCAAATATTCTAAAATGAAATTTCTGTTGTTTCAGCTGATGTAATGCACGAGAACACGTCTGACGGAAATTCCGAACATAATTCTTCGGGTGATGAAGACTCCCAGCTAAGGTTGAGACTGAAAAGGAAACTACAGAGGAATAGAACGTCGTTTACCAATGAACAAATCGATAGTTTAGAAAAGGGTAAGTTGCTCCATTCGTTTCTTTAAAATAATCAAAGACATGATTTTTTAATCAAAGAATATTTTCTAAAATGCTACAAAAAAATATGAGCAAATTCACTATTATGGTTTTCGTAAAGACGCAAATTTTGTAAGTACCTAAATTATTTGCACTTTTCTTGTAACTTGACTTAATAAGAATCTATAATTTATTCTTATTTAAATAAAATAAAATTTATATAAATATGCAGTAAATCAATAAAAATGTTTTGGAATATAGCAAACGAAAGGTATTTAATAAAAATATGTGAAAAAACATATAATTACATTACAGACTATAAATGAAGCCCACCTTCATTAAAAAATTAATTTATTTAACTCACTTCTATATTTACTATTTAAATGGGAATAAACGTAAATAACGTCAATAAACGTATTTTAACTTTTAGTTCTGGCTTATTCCCATTTAAATAGCAATTACTTTACAATGCCACAAACAAATAGCTTCAGAACAGTTCTATATTTATCTTACGCATCTTCTTCTTTCTTTCTACAAGCAACTAGTCTTGTTTATTCCAGGATCGATGCGTCTATGGAAACTTGCTGATTTTTTTGTTGTTATCGTGTTTATTTATATTTATATTTAACCAGCCTTGTTTCCTCTAATAATTTATACACATGTGATTATTTTGTTCTTTTTTCTGTTTAGTCCATTTCCTGTATATTCTCTTCTCTCTTCTTCAGCCTTCATTTATCCAATGTTGGACATAGGCCTCCTCCAATTGCTTCCACGCTTCCCTATCTTTTGCAATTCTCATCCACTGCTTTCCAGCTACAGCAGTTATATCGTCTATCCGTCTCTTTTTAGGTCTTCCCACGATTCTTTTTTTTTCTCTCGAGGTCTCCAGAATGTCACTTTATGAGACCATCTGTTGGTGTCTTGTCTTGCTACATGTGCTACCCATTGCCATCTCAATGTTGCTATTTTTCTCATGATGTCGGTTACTTTAGTTCTTCGACGTATTTCGGTGTTAGGAATTTTGTCTCTGAGGCTTATATTTAACATGGCCCTCTCCATGGCCCGTTGAGTTACTCTTAATTGTTCTGCCATTGTTCTTGTTATTGCCATAGTTTCCAATCCATAAGTTGCAACTGGTAGTATACAAGTGTCATAGGTTTTTCGTTTTAAGTGAATTGGGATTTTTCTGTCTTTTAAAAGGAAGCTCAACTTACCAAAAGCAGCCCATGATAACTGTGTCATTCTTTTAATTTCTAGGGTTTGATTTTCCTTTTCGTTTTTAATTGCATGTCATATATATATATATATATATATATATATATATATATATATATATATATATATATATATATATATATATATATATTGTTCTACCTTTTCTATATTGATGTTATCTATCGTGATGTTTTCTAGGCTGTTGCTTAATATCTTTGTTTTGTCGAGATTCATTTTTAATCCTATTTGATTCGATTTGTGATTTAAATCTTGTAGCATTGATTTTAGTTCATGGATATCTGTGCTTATTAGTACTATGTCGTCTGCAAAACGCAAATGGTTAAGATATTCTCCATCTATTTTTAATCCATTTTCGGCCCAATTTAGTTGTTTGAAAACATTTTCTAATGCCAAAGTAAATAACTTGGGTGAGATGGTGTCGCCCTGTCTCACACCTTTGCCAAGGTCTATTTTCATAGTTTCCAGATCATCATCTATTTTTACGTGAAAAGTAGCATCATCGTATATATTCTTAAGGAGGGCAGCATATCTTGAATCTACTCTGGCGTCGTCCAATGCTGTTAAGAAAGCCCATTTCTCGATACTGTCGAATGCTTTGTGATAATCGACAAATGCCAGATGTAGTGGTATGTTGTACTCTATTGTTTTTTCAATAATGGTCCGAATTGTTTGCAAGTGATCGATAGTGCTAAAACCCTTACGAAAGCCTGCTTGCTCCACTGGTTGGTATGCATCTAGTTTAGCTGTCAATCTATTTGTTATTATTCGGGTTAGTAGTTTGTAAAGGTGTGACAATAAGCTTATTGGTCGGTAGTTTTCTATATTTGCGGCGTCCCCTTTTTTATGGAGTAGAATGACTTCCGCATTTTTCCATGTCTTCGGTATTTGTCCTTCCAATAGGCATTTATTAAGTAATGCTCTTATTGCCTCTTCTAATGCAGTGCCTCCCATTTTTAGCATCTCTGAAGTAATTTTATCTTCTCCTGGTGTTTTCCCATTTTTCATTTGTTTTAGGGCGGCTCTAATTTCTGATGTTATTATTTCAGGGAAGTCCTCTGAGCCCACATTTAAGATATGTTTTGTTGGTATACCGGGGTTCGGAATAGTAGAAGTATATAGCTTCTCATAAAATTTTCGGATTTCTCTAACGATCTCTTCCTTATGCGAGCACAATGTTCCACGGTCGTCTTTTATCTTTATGATTTTATTCCTGGCAGTGGATTTACATGTTTTTAGTACTTTCATGTTCTTATTGTTTTCTATGGTTTCAAGAATCTGGTTTGTTCTATAAACTCTGAGGTCTTTTCGAATATTTTTCTTAACGCTTCTGTTGAGCGCTTTATAGTCCGGGTTATCTCTGTTCGTTCTTCTTCTTTTCTCTATCTGTTCTAGAGTTTCGGGTTTTAGTTTAGCTTCCTTTTGTTTTCTTATTCTGCAACAAAGTTTCTTAGTGACTGTTTGTATGTCTTTAGTTATTTTCTCAGCAAGTTCATCTATATTCTTGTGCTCAAAGGTATTTGCTACTAGTTTTCGTGCTAATTCCTCTTGGTATGTCTCTTTGTTACTGGCTAGGATGTCTGCCGTCGGTAAAGGGTTTGTTGTTAATAGTTTTCCTCTTTCTCTCTTTACGTTAATACGTATATCAGCACGAACTAGTCTATGGTCACTGCTGGTGTTAAATTTGTTCAATACCTCGATGTTTTTACATATTGATCTATCACTGGAAAGGATAAAATCTTTCCTTTCTATCTATCCTTTCCTGTATATTACATTTTCCTAATATAATTCTTCTTCACGGAGTAATTTTTATCTCCGTTGTATTCAACAGCTTATGTGTCTTTTGGCTATGTCGAGTGTCGACTATGACGCATACGTCATTATTGGTCTTACAGTAACTTTATAAATTCTTGATAACATCTTAAAATAAATGCATTGGTTTCACCTATTGTGTTAATAAATCCCAGTTTATTGGCCTTTTGAACCTGATCCATTATTTCTTTTTTCGCGTCTTCATAGATGAACAGTGTAACCTCTACGTATTTTGTCTCCACTGTCTACGCTGACTCCACTGTTATTTAAATTACACCTAGTTGGTTTTATAGTAGTTAACATTTTGATTTTTTTGAACTGAAATCATTAAATTCCATTGACATTGTGTAAGCAACCGAACTAACGGAGGAAGTCAACGTTTAATCAGGTATAAGACCGGGTGATAGCTTGCGCCCGTTATTATTAGACTTGATAATGGACAAACTAATAGAAAAAGTAAAAATTCTATGCTACGCAGAAGACCCAGTAATATTATTAGATAATGAAGATGATCTGCAACGGATAATCCACACTTTGGAAGCTAACGCAGAAAATTAACCTGAAAATATTAGCACTAAAAACTTGGTCCCTTGTTATTGCTAGGAAGCCAAAAATTCAACTATCTAGTGACACAAATATCGTATTATGTAACATATCCGAAGGAGCCTGCATACAAGATAATAAAGCAGGGTACAGCATGAGGATAGAAGGAAAAACACGCATATACAAGACTTGTGTAATATCGATATACAGTGCGTTAAGTTTTGGATTAGGTATACACTCTATAAATGGCAACACTGCGCGTCGTCGACTTGCCACTACATATCTGCTTCGTTGACTCGTCGTTGCTCATCGTCCGTCGGCAAATTTGTCATATTGTCATTATACCGTGGTTGTTTAAAGGTATAACAGCGTAGAGTTTTAATTTATTTTTGTAAACAAGTCTGTTTATATGGCCGCGGAAAAATCTCAAATAATAAAATGGTTGTATAGTGGTAATTCTGCGCAACAGTGTGTAGATTTATTTTCTGTGTTTTTTGAGGGAAGACCAATTCCTTGTGTACAGTAAATTTATAATATTGTTAAAAATTTTGAGAGTTGTTATTGCCTCAAAAATTGCAGAAAATGTCACGCTCAAGAAGTGTTACCAGAAAAAGTTGAGGAAAGAGAATACCGGGATACACAAATTTGTGCAACAATCGAGGTAGATTCAACACGTTCAGGTAGAAGCGTTGCTAGAGAGTTAGATGTTAGCAATGTTACTGTAACGAAAGTATGGAAAAAAGCACGGTTACAAGAATTTTAAATATTCGAAAACGCAGCAGCTTTATTAAGACGATTACTTTCGAAGAATGGAGTTTTGTGAAACTCTAATAACAAAGGCTAATAGTGAACCAAATTTTATTAAAAACATTTTATTCACTGATGCATCTTCTGTTTCGTTAGTAGGGAGACACAATCCTTCCATTACGAGGTATTGGGCGCGGGAAAACCAGCACAGAAGCGTCGTTTACCGAACTCAACGTCCTCAAAAAGTTACTGGACTGGCATTTTAGGAGACCACATAATAGGTCCATTTTTTATTGAGGGCAACTTGAATAATAGAGTATACCTCGATTTGTTACAGAATCATGTTCTTCCCGCTATTCTCAATCTTCCTGTTGTAAATCTGGAGAATGTTTAGTTTCATCAAGACGGCTGTTCAGTTCACAACGCTCGAATTATTAGGGAGTATTTAAACAATACTTTCCCGAATCGAGTTATCAGTGGAACAGGCGATATTAAGTGGCCTGCGCGATCTCCAGATCTTACACCCATGGACTTCTTTTTTTGGGGACATTTAAAAAGCATTATCTACGATCATCCTGAGGCTACAGCCCAAAATTTGGATGATTTAAAAAATCGAATAAGAGAAGTCTCCAATTCTGTTACAGCAGAAACTCTTTCATCTGTTCGCAGAAGTTTTTATGACAGATTGGGGTACTGTTCAGCCGTAGAAGGTCAACTATTTGAACCATTTCTGTAGTTCATAAAGAATTATTTTTTATTTTCTTAGGAATAATATTTTAATTTTCAATAAGAGTATATTTTTTATTTTATCTTTTTAAAGAAATACGCTTTTATTTTTAATTCAACCACAAAAAAATGTTCACATTAATAAAAATCGATAACAATGCACCGATTAGGTCAGTGCATTTTTATCGAATTTCCTACTATTAAAATCGGCTATACGTAATGAAACATGAGATCGGACGACAGAGAAGTACATCCCAAATAGTGTGCAATACCTAATCAAAAACTTAACGAACTGTATTCTATGCTGTGCAAATAAGAGCGGAAACAACAGTTACAAAGAAAATCTTAAGAATAATAGAGAAGAAAACACTAAGGGCAAAAGCAGATTCAAAATCCCTAATACACAAATCAGAGACATATCTAAAGTAAATGATATCTTCAAATGGGAACGCCAAAGAAGACGAGAATGGAACCAATGCATTAAAGAATGGGAAAAGAGAGACTTGCTCGAATAGTAAGAGATGGAAAACCAAAAGGAAAAGACCACAAGGCAGACCCCCTAAAAGATGGAGATACAGCTAGCAGTCAACATCAAAAATACTGCTAAATTAGACCAGAAACAACTTAAGGCCTAACATGCGAAGAAAAAGAAGAAGAAGCTTCTGTGTTAAATATGTAAACTGGTGGTTGCAGACTGTCTTCATCTTAGACTATCAATATTTTTAATTTCTATTCTATGTCTCATTTGAGTGCCAAGTTTTGTAAACTATTTATCTATTCTAAAATTATTTAAATCTTTTTCTGTAGAACGCAAATATTAAAATGCTGGCATACTATACTCGAATGCTTTCTTGGTTTTTTGCTTTATAAAAAATTCTGCATTGACAGACGATCTTTCCAAGCACAAAGCTTATCATTTAATTTACTATTTTATACAAAATTTTATTTCCCAAGTGCCCAATTTACTAATAATAACTTTAGCTTTAAAGTGGCGGACAAATTCACATACATAGTCTCCTTGAGGACCAGTGACAACTTCATAACGGACAAAAACAGACGAAAAATAATTATGAAAAATAAGTGCCATTTTGGGCTGCGTATACACATGAAAAGTATAAACTTAAGGCAGAAAACAAAAATAATAATATACAAAACCCTTATACTATCAAACAGTCTCCATATCTACAAGACAGATGGATACCTCTTGCTCATATTTGAACGAAGAATTCTAAGAGGAATTGTCCTATTATTTGGAGGAACAGTGGCAACTATGAGATATACCACAAATAAAAACAGATACCTAATGGTAAAGACGTGATATCTCTCATAAAATTAGAAATAATAAGACAGACAGACATCTAGCATGGCCGCAACAGAACAATCAACTAAGAAGAATCCTTATGACAAAGCTGATGGAAAGTAGCCAGAGAGATAGGGCAAAACTTGGAGGAAATATGGTGTTCATCAAGATTCTATAAAAGTAGGTGCAACAAACTGGCAAAGGTTGGTAATGAATAGGCGAAATAGACTTGGAAAGGTCGAGGCTTTACTATAGCATATATACGAGGTCTGTAGCACTAATGAAAATGATGACAAAATTTTAGTTGTAAATTTCAGAGTTGTCTTTAACAAGTTAAAACCTCTGTAGTCTTCTGGTTGTTTTTATATCGCTTTTTGAATAGGATAAGTAGTACGATTATAAAATTTTGTTAGGTTATATAAATGTTGTTAATTCGTGTTGATATTTATTTCTTTATTGCTTTACCACAACATATTAAATATTTATTTGATATCTTATTTTTACTTCAACTTTTCTGTTTTTGGGGCATTTTAAGTGTTTTTACACTTTTTGATTATTTCTTATTTTCATTTTGTCTGGTAATTTCTGTAAGGCTTCTGATTCTAATGTTATTTGCTGTTTCTCTCTATACAACTTCTTCTTTAAATACTCAATACATGTATCGTTTTTGTGTGTAACTTGCATACAAACGAGATAAATGTAAACGTATAAAAGAAGATCAAAAAGGAAATAGGAAATAAAATACAATAATATTAGCATTAAATTGTATTCATTTATTTTCAGAATTTGAGCGGACGCATTATCCAGATGTTTTCGCCAGGGAACGACTAGCGGAGAAAATCGGTTTGCCAGAGGCACGTATCCAGGTAACAATTTTTTATCAAAATCCATAGCACGATGGATATTTTTTGAGGTGGCAAGAAAGATCTTTAAACTAAATCAAAAGTTTGATTCCAGATTAAAATATTATTTTATATCTTCGATTTTTTAGTCTCATGTTTATATATTTACTCTATTTAATGCTTAAAGGTTGCCAAATTGGTATCCACAAGATTGTTCTATTTTCGTCATTTGCTACTTAACCTATTAGCGCTTGCGCCCATATTTTTTACATCAAAGAGCGGGTGACATATTTTTATGTATTTTGGATAAATGTAAATTATCTCATATTTCGTGAATGTAAATTATAAAACACATCAATATATTATAAATAATAATGAATAAACATTATTTATTTGCAAATTTCACCAACGTACAGTTAAAACTACCATCGTGACAGTTTGTATTACAGGTTACACATTACTTTACAGGTTACTGTAGGTTACACATAATTGTAGTAAGTGGAAGTTTTTTGAAAGTAAAAGAATTACATTTACACCGTATTTCATGGATGCTGTGGTCCCTTTTCTTTCCGCGGTACAAGAACGACAAACTCTACGTTTTTGAAAGACGAACTATTTCTTCGTGTTCATTTACAGTTTGTCCATACCTGATTTTAGAAATGCTCCCACATCTGGGGGTAAATTGGTTAGCTAAGCCCTTTAAACAAGGTGCTCTTTCATTAGACTCAGCTACAAATTTTTCAAAAAATTTCTTCGATCTTTTGAGCAATTATCAGGACACGAAAAACTATATAAAACTTGTACATTTATTTCACTTATGTTCAATAAACTGTAAACTATAACACAAGGCCATCTCCTGGAAATTCGAGAACCTGAATAGATTGCACACATTTTGTCCACCGTATGCACACTCCACTTAGCTCCATTATAATCCATAATTACTTGTAGTTTTTGACTGTCTGGATGAATTTCGTCATTATCGTGTAAAGTTGAAAGCAGGATTACAGCTTTGGTTTTGCGAGGTACAAAAGATATGATCATCATGTCTTTTTCGAACTCAAAAAGGCAACTTTTAGTAACTTTTTCCTTGTTCGGTAAAAATTCAGCAGGAATTTCTGCCTTATTTTCTTTATAAATTCCAACTAAAGTGATTGTTTTTGCAGTAAACAATTAGCAAGTGAAAAATTAGTATAGTAGATGGCGGTGGTAGTAAGATTTCGATCGAACAAACAAGTCTCTTTACAATGTCAGTTGGTGAGTTGGATAAATCATACGGACCATCGGGCTGTTTGCCGAAATATATTTTTAAATTTAAAGTATAACATGCCTTGTCACATAAAGCATACATTTTGATTCCATATTTTGTTGGTTTGCTTGGTATGTACTGCACCCAACTACAACGATCTCAAAAAGGGTGAAGCATTTCGTCTATTGAAACTTTTACAACAATTTTAAAGGATGTTTGAATATTGGTCACAAATGCATCAAAAAGTCAAGGATTGCAGACAATTTGTCAATTTTAATAATTCATTAGCAGACATAATTATATATGAGCAACACGTAGAAATTGTCTTCTTCTTCTTCCTAAGCTTTTTTCTTTTCAAGGGTTACTGCTCCTTACTCTTTACTGAAACTTTTGCACCACACCGTCCTACCATCTTCTCGACGGTTTTCCTCTACCTCTCTTTCTATCTATTCTAAACAAAATTTTCCATCAAATTGTAAACATGTTTAACTACCTAGGTCCCTGGCTGACATCGGACTTAGATCCTGATTAAAATGTTAAATATCGAATGAAACAGGCAAAATCAGCATTTAACTGGGAAGATGCCAATATTCGTGGATAAAAAATATAATATTCTATTGGATTCGACTAATTTGAAGTCATATTCAATGTGTCAAACTGTACAAGATAGATCTTCCTTCGCTGAAATTGTTACCAACCTTCAATGGGAGAACAAAAGCCACCATAAGAAGGTCAATTGTTGAGTTCATAATTTCTGAAAACTTGTCATTTAAAAGATAAATTAAATTACACATTGATAAGTTTTATTAAATCCATTTAATCAAATCGTCATCTTCTAGTTTCTGTGTTAACCTTGTACCTCTAATTTTAGCCATAGTTACTTTAATTAAATCCTCTTTAACTACAAATATTTACCAATTGAAATTCAATCAATTCTTTACAAAACAAAAACAATAAAAATGCTGACTGGTTTGCTGTCACTATTTGTGCAATGATAGGGCTAAATAATGCAATCGTGGAAAAATCCAAATAAAAACGAAATACAATCTGATCAATAATATCAACCAACGAACCCTGAAAACATGCGTTACATTGGTTTATTTACTCTTGTCGCCTGCGAGGTATTTTCCAACGTTGGTGGACAGTGGTGGGACTGGCCGAGTTTTTGAAAAAATACTAATATAAATAACTGTGGCATATTTTAGGTCAACGAACGGAAAAGGCAATAATAACAAAAAATAAATGTGTATTTAGTCAGAGCTACAAACCAATTATTGAAAATCTAATAATACTCGAATAAAACGGGTAAAAATCAGATGATATTTATAAATGTATCAGCAGAAGTATTTACAATTACATCACGCAACTATGCAGATATCTACGCAGAATATTTGGAAAACACTATTAAAAATATTTACAAAAGTATTCTACTGATTTGGCGTGGGGATGACTCAATATTGAGTATTAGATTTAAATTATGTTCGCATCATAGTCGTGCGCACGTAGCAATTGAAGCTTATGGTACTTGAGCTTCTCACTAGGCTTGTGTCGTCTTGATTTTTTAACTGTCCGAAACATTAATTCTTGATTCTAATTCTTGTGTTTTCTAAAATTTTGTGTTCCGTTTGTGATGCAGTTTGTGACACCATTTGTGATCCAGTCTTCTCAGTTACTCATAATATTCAAAACTTCTGCCTAAAAGTGATAAACGGCATCACTGCGCGCCGTCGACTTTCCACGAACCTCCGTTGGTTGCCAAAACTCAAAATTAATCCTGAGATTACACGAATTCGGTAAATGTCTCACGATTTTACGAATTATATGTGAATTTTCACGACTTTTACTCACTTTAGAGGAATAAGTAATTTTAAACAAAATTTTGTAAAGAAATTACTTAGAGACAAAAAAATAACGTTAACAAACCCATTATAACTGAACGAAAAAGAAACTAAAAGTATTAATTTTATTTCTACTTCACGAAATTCGCTGTTGCTGGGTTAAATTGTAACGGAATTCGGGGAAGTCCCCAAATCGTAGGCTTCATAGCTATTGTTAATTGAAGTAAAACTTAAGTTTTCGGGTTTATATCATGTATTTTGCTTTAACAGCCGACGTTAAAACAAACAATTATAATTCTATGATAAATTTTATTTTTAAAGAATTATCCGGGAATCAGTGGACATTTAAAAACAATAATATAAACAGTTACCTAGGATATCAACTTGATGATTTTAATATGTATTATTAAAGTTGTTTTTTAGTTGATAGTTTTACAGGTAGCCCATGTTAATAGGTCTTTTACATATTGTAAAGTACTTAAATTCAGGTACTGATTTAATTGTATATAAGGAAATCTATCTTAATAATAACTCACTAAGCCTTGAGAAAGCGAATGAGATCATTTAAAGTACAAGCCAAGTAGATAAAGATAATATTTTAGTACTGGTACAATTAAGTGTTTAGATGTTTTTATCGAAAGTGTTGTATCGAAACAATAACAATTAAGATTTACTTTGAAAAATTCTGCAGTTGAAAAAATGTAATTTTTTACCCCAATATTATAAAAAACCAATAAAAAACATTCATTTCTGTGGCAATAAGTTTTTCTAACCTGGTTGTCCAGAAAATTACCAAGATTTAGATAATGAGTGAAGAATGTTTTTAGTTTTTCACTTAATGATATTGATAATGATATTATAAGATTTTGGAAAGAAATAGCATTTGTCAAAATAGGTAATGATTCCTTAAGATTTTCCACTTTAGCAAAATTTGTTTATAATGTACTATGTTAACTTCATTCAAGTGTTGCCGTAGAGAGAATTTTCTTTCAAATAAAATTGACAAAAACACAATATTGGAACAGATTAAAAATTGATACCATGAAGGGAATTTTACATACGAAACGTTTGATTGGATTGATACGTGCTTGAATTTTAATGTACTCAAGTGTAAATATGATCAAAAAGCTAGGAACCAGTAAGAGCTATTTAAATAAGAAAGATGATTCTAGCGACTCTGACGAGAGTCTAGTCAAAATCGCTAGAATCATCTATCAGTTTCACGAGTCACTAAAACAAAATATAACATAGGTACCTAACCATTTTAAGATCGAATTATAAACAAATGTTTTATTTTGACAGGCTTTTGGAAAGTTTTTCTAATTTATTTCTTACCTTGATTGCAAAAATATACATTTATTTTTTATTCTTCTCCCTTATAAGATTTTTTTATTGAATTCGGAAAATCTCAAGATTTTTTAAATAGAATTCTGACGATTTTTCCCAAAATATTTTGGCTACACTGCCTCCGTTGTTCCTTAGCCAGTAATGTGTCATTATACAGTGGTTGTTTAAAGCGATAACACCATAGATTTTTAATTTATTTTTGTAAACAACATGTCTTTTGAGGGTAGACCAATTCCGTGCGTAGTCAATTCATAATATTGTTAAAAATTTTGAGAGTTGCTATTGCCTAAAAAATTGCATAAAATGTCACGCTCAAGGAGTGTCACCAGAAAATTTGATATTTTAACAGAAATTCCGATGTCAAAATACAACTTTGAGACAGAATTAAATATAATTAAGCAAATAGCAGTAAAGAACGGATACAATGAACAAACAAATAATAAAATATTAAATCAAAAACTACACAAGAAAGCCCTGAAATTAGTATTTCCACCACCAGAGAAAAAACCCAGTACCTTCTGTTCGATTACATATACAGGCAAAATTACAACAAAAATAGCCAAACACATAAAAAAGAAAGAAAGAATACCAAC